AAATAGACAAAGCAACCGAAATCAAGTATTATAGTCAGTTTGATACAAGAGAAGAAGAGACATCAAGAGAAAAGAGAGGCTTATTGCTGAAAAAAGGATCAACAGAGACGAGAGAAAGAGAAGTTAATAACAAGGAAGGCAAACAACAGGTAAGGAAAGAAGGGAGCAATCACCTTCTCCTATTGACTTTTTGAGAATAATAATTAATAAGGACAAACTTATAGATATCAGAAGAAAATTAAGCTGGATTCTAGAAGATTCGGATTCAATAGAAGAAATTCTATTTAGTAAAGAGAACGAGAATGAGAGACAACTTTTTCCCTCGACATCCTATTAGGAGGAAAAATAGAGAGAGAGGAAGAGAGAGGGGGTTGAGAAAGGGAAGGGGGACGAGCAAGAGAGAGAGAGGGGGGAAAGAGGGAGAGGAAGAGAGAGAGAGAGAGAGAAGATATGGTAATAGACTAAAGTTACGGCTAAAACCGAACGAGACTACTGGAAGAGGAGAAGAGAAACAGAAGACGGCAGATACAATTAGAGTAGCGAATCGGATATATAATCCCTTGATTAAATTAATAAACACATTAACAACGAAACAGCTACTAATTGCGATGTAGAATTGCAGAGGATTCCGAAATATAAAAAACAAGTTAGCTAGTAAAGTACAAGATTATGACATATGGTGCTCACCGAAACCAAGTTTCCTAATGAACAAGGAATATATTTTTCGAGCCACGGGCAGTAAACTTTCCTAGTCGAGGAAATATCAGCGACATCATTATTCTTATAAAAAAAGATCTCGAGTTCGATGTTATCTCAGGCGTAACATCAGCGCAAAATTTGATATAATTGGAATTACGGTTACTAATACTGAAGTGAATTTTAACCACAGTATATACAGTAGTGCAACTCTCTATCGGTACCTTTGATGTTAGTGTTGACCAAAATGGAGTGCGCATGCGTAAAATAAGTAAGTTACTTAGCGTTGCCATGGTTATCACTTAAACTTCTTTCTCTTTTCATCCTTTTCTTGTTCTGTCAAAATTCACTAAATTTATTCGCGTCGTACTCCAACAAATGCGTTGGAGTGAGTAAGAACTATAAGAGCATATTAGAGCATGCAACGCGAATGAACCTAAAGGGTGTTTTTTTAAGCCCGATAGAACTTGAAATTGTAAAAAATAAAACAAAAAATTAAATTTTAATAAAAAAATTTTTTTATTTCTTTCAGTATACACTGGCAAATCATTATGAATAGACTCACGCTTGAACAATGCTACCAAATTATCCAAAATTAAGATCCGTTCTGTAAACTATCGATGAAAATTGCTTCATTTAAGTTGATTTCGAGAAATGGAACTGTCAATTGGCCTCCAAGGTCGTGCAATTTGACCCCTCTCGATTATTTCCTCTGGGGCTACGTCAAGTCACTGGTTTATGCTGATAAACCAGCAACAATTGACGCCTTGGAGGACAACATTGTTCGTGTTATTCGTGACATACGGCCGGCACTGCTCGAAAAAGTCACTCAAAATTGGACGTCTAGAATGCGCTTCGTCAAGAACAGCCGCGGTGGCCATATGCCCGAAATCATTTTCAATTGTTAATGCCATACATTGATCTTTCGAATAAAAAAAAATTTTTGATTATAATTGCATTTTTGTGCTAGTTTTTACAGTTGTAAGTTCTATCGGCCTTAAAAAAACACCCTTTATTATTGCAATGAAATATTAATATAAAAATATTAATCTAAACTTAATAAAAATTATGTGATTGGAAACAAGACCGTCTATATGAATATTAAGACTTTAGATACAAAGCGCCTTTTCGGTCGAGTGTTGAGATGTTGAACTACTATCTAATATACATTCAATTAAATTGAATTAATATTTCAGAAA